AATGTTCTCCATCCTAAACAGCTGGGAGTTGTAGGGCCAGATAGACATGTGGGGTGGGGGGTGGTTCCCCACCCAAGGGAGAAGCTGTTAGCTGCACAGAGTTCCTCTCTTAGTACACAATATTTTGAGGCAAAATGGAAAGATTGCCGCTTGGGAGGGAATTGGGTTTATTCAAATAATAGCAGCAAACAGCAAGATTTATGGTGCGTATTTCTAGGAAAGTACTCTGTGGCAATCAGGGGCCTGCCTGTGTTGCTGCCCCCTTGGGACTGCCTGCAGGTACAATATCGCTTAACTATATGAATATGTGACAAGGGCTGTGGGGAGTGTAGTTTCTAAATTATTTTCTGATGCTGTTTATGGAGGATGTGACTGTAGCTGGGGTGGGTCGTGGCAAGATGCACGATCAGTGGTGACTATGCTCTTAATCAGACATTCCAAAGACCTTGGGACATTGCTTTTTCTCTCAGAAAGAGGCCAGTATCAACTCATTGGTTAATACGCTTGTACTCAGTGAGTCTGCTGGGCGAATCATCCTGTGAGGAGGTATGGAAGAGACCCTAAAATATTTCCAACATACACCAGGAGCTCTCCCTTCAGCTGGAAAGGCAAGATATTCTTGTGGGGTAAAGATAAGGGCCCTGGAGTGAGCTAGGAGGAAGAAGAAGTTAACACTGTCCCATCTTCTGCCAGGACAGAGGGGCTTAAATTACATTATCCTGTTTGATCATTCTCACCGAGAGGTAACATCTTCATCCCATTTTAGGGGTGAGAAGACTGAGGGCGGAGAAGTTAAGTGACCTCCTCCAGGTCCCACAGCTGGTAAGAAGCAATGAAGTGTTCATTCTCAGTCTGCTGAATTCTGAAGGGTCTAGAATCATCGGGGTGAAGTTTTTAAATCAACTCCCAATTGATTTCGTCAGGGATAAGCACCAATTTTAGAAAAACAAAATAACATTTGGCTGCACTTCCTCTTACTCAGTTCGCTAAGTGGGGGGTGGAGGGCACTGAGGAAACACTAGCTCTAGCTCTGAAGCTTTAATGTCCCTTCCTGTCGCTAGACTCTAAGTAAGTGATTGTTCTTGTCCATTTGCATTTCCACAGCCAGACTCTTTCCTGCCTGAATACTCCCTTCCCCCACTGCCATCTTCCCACGTTCATTTAGCTTCTCTCTCTCACCCTACACACACACACACACACACACACACACACATCCAGTCGCACACCTTCCCACCACACACCCATATGCAAAATAAAATTAGAAATACTGCCCGACTCTCAAGGTATTTAGGGAATGGAGATCTTCAATCAATAGAGCCCAAATCAAGCACTCCAGGCTCCCTTCCTCCCCAGCCAGTGCTGGAGGCTGGTGGAACTTACTGAAGAGGGCCCAGACAGCCATGGTCTTGACACAAAGCAGCTCTACAGGAAAAAAGGCCATTTGAGCGTCCCTGTGTTTGCCCTGGAGCCACCGGAGACACAGAGCCATCAAATTCTCAGAATCCAAGATTCTCAGAATCTTTTGCTTACATAGAAGACCCTTCGAGAACATGGAAAGCTTCCCCAGCTTCCTTTTTATTTTGGCATACACTGATGTAATCAAATACCAAGAAAACAGCGTCTGATGGTTCAAACTATAGGCTGAGCTGCTAAGCCTATGGTCCTCATGTTAAGGGGTTGCCTTTGTTTTTAATCAGCCATGTGAGAAAGCAATAGACATTTATCTATTATGTTAGCCTTCACCCAGAGGAGTGGGATAGGCTGCATGAGTGAGCTATGACGGCCCAGGAAACTGAGGCAGTGGTGGCACCATCATTCCTGTAATGTCTCTAAAGCTTTCTCTGCTCTGTCCCCATCCCCACTGACACACACTGGCCAAGTGTCCCCGTCATCTTAGTGGGCCTCAGTACCCATCTCAGAATAGTGGAGTCAGGAAGGGGAAAGACTGGAACAAGGAAGTGGGGGTGGGGCTCCAAGTGGGAACTCCTGGTTCAAGCTCTGGGTCTGGATCAATTCTTCCGCTGGGGGGCACCTGGGTGACTTGGTTAAGCATCTGCCTTTGGCTTGGGTCATGATCCCAGGGTCCTAGGATTGAACCCTGCATTGGGCTCCCTGCTCATCGAGGAGCCTGCTTCTCCCTTTCCCTCTGCTAGCTGCTCCCCATGCTTGTACTGATGCTCGCTCTCTCTCCGTCAAGTAAATAAATAAAATCTTAAATATATACATACCTACACACATACATTCTTCTGCTATCCTCCCTTCTCCCAAATCAGAGCTCCCCCTGGGTCTCAGGGTGACTGGGCTCGCATAGAGGCTGAAAGCCTGTGCATTAGTTCAAATCCAGGCTCTGTCACTTTACGGTTGGATGACCTTGGCCCTGTGACTTAGGTTCTCTGTGCCTCAACCTCCTCATCCCATACAATGGGGATGACTGAACTTTGGCTGAGAGGGTTAACAAAGCTGTCTTACGCTAAAGGCTTAGCACAGTGCCTGGTACGTACAAGAGCCCAGTAAATAGTGTCAATAATTATGAACTAATTAGTGCTTACCATGGGCAGGCCCTGTCTCAGGGCTTTACATATATAATCATATACTTCTTACATCTGTCTTACAGATGAAAAAGTCGAATCTGAAGATCACACAGCAGTGAATGGCGGACACTGAGACCCAGGCACACAGGTTCTAGAGTTGGGGGGGTCTCAACCCCAGTGTGCATAACGTCCTTGATCTTTATGGGTGTTGCCCCAGGCAAGCTGAGCTCTCAACCCCCCAGGCTTCTCTCCTTCCGAGAGAGTGGGGAGCTGCGAGGGTGTCAGCCACAGCAGGGAGGGAGGGAGCAGAGGATGGCTAGGACATTCACATCAGCGCTGAATCCAGATTCCCCAGTTGGAATCGGCGGCTGAAGTCAGGCAGGGCGCCCCAGCCGGCTCCAGGGAAAAGGGGGGGGGGCAAGTCCACGATGCTGAGAGGGGTGGCCAGAGCGCCGCCCCCAGGAGGGGAGGGAGGGGTGGCAGGGTTGAGGGGTGCCCAGCTGCCATCCCCGCCGCCTCCTGGCCCCCACTCGCTGGCGCCCAAGTGGGAGGAAGGCAGCTGCCCGCTCCCTCCTCCCCACATCCCCGCTACCTGCCCAGTCCCCCGAAGCGAAGCGTGAGGAGGCTGTGAGCCAGTGGGGCCGAGCCCACAACTTTGCAGCCTCGGGGAGGGCGAGAGCCGTCGTCCAGGGCTCCTCTTGTCCGCGACCCGAGCTCGGTGAGTTCGTTTCCCCACCCCTCTGCGGCGGTGCGGCGGCAGCGGCGGCGGCGCGGGGGGCGGCTTCCCCGGCGTCCAGGAGGCGGTGGCGGAGGAGCCGGCGGTCACCCGCGCCGCCAGCCTCGCTAAGGCTCCCGGCGTGCCGCCCTCCGCCGCCCGCGATGCCGCCGCTGGTAACGTGCGGACGGCTCCTCACGCCCTCGGGCCGCCCGGGCGGGGTCCGCGGTCAGGTGCGGGGCCGGGGGGCTGCGGCCGCCCGCCCGCCGAGCGCCCCTAGCTCCCCCAGCCCCTGTCCGCCTTCCAGGCGCCGCGGCGCTTCTGAAGGCTGCTCCCGCGCCCCCCTGGCGACCGGCGTGGGGAAGACACTTGCTTCGCCCGAGACCGGCTTCGGGGGCTCTCTGGGGTGGGCAGCACTGCCGCAGCCCCCGGGAGCGCCCGGTCGGGGGCGGCGCGGAGCCCCCAGCGACCATCCCCGGGCGTGCTCTGGGCTGAGCCCCCGCGGTGGAGAGAGGCTCGTGCTCCCCATGGCTGCCGCAGGTCCGCAGGGGCACTGGCAACGGCAAAGGGGACTCCAAGGTGATCAGTCGCCCAATCCGGACGGGACAGCCTGGACCGAGGCCTCGTGGCACTCGCCCATCCTGGGTGCAGCCGCCTTCCCAGAACTTTTCTTGCGCCTAGGGCTCGCCGACTCCTTAGCCCCTCGAAAAGTTCTTTCGGGCGCCAGGAATCCTATTTCCCGGTGCCTTCCGAAGCTGGTCAGGAACCAGGGCTTTGGGGGGCAGGGTAGAGTGGGGATGCGGCGGGGGTGCTTGGCGGCGAGGGTAGATCCGCCGAAAGGCTGGCAAGCATCCGCTCCCTCGCGCAGGGCGGGCTTGTTGGCATCGAAAGGGTTTCGGCGCCATCGGGGTTGTTTGGGTTTCTCGCTCCAGGAGGATGGGGGGAGGGCACGAAGGGGGGATTTTAATTTCGTCGCTTCAAATGAAAACGATCTTTGCCAAGAAATAGCCAGGGCAGCCAGCGATGGAGAGAGGGGTCGACCAGGACCGGCTGATACAGGTATCCAGCTGCACCCCCTTACCTTACCCGGTGGCTGGGCGCCGGTGTGAATGTACTGATTGTTTTAATTAATTGCTTTTAAAGCCAGGTGTCAGCGGCTGCGTGTGTGATACACAAATATATACATACACAAACACAGATACCAGGCGCACACAGATTACATGTAGAGTCATACACAGGGAACACCCCACCACCACACACACACACACACACACACACACACACACACACACACACTCCCCACCACACACACTTGCAAATCACGGACCTACAAGCACACAGACTTCCAAAGAGCCTTGGGTTATGGGTGTGGTCCCTGAGTATTGCCCAAGATTGGGTGGGGGTGGGTTGGAGGGTCAGAGAAAAGAAGGTGAAGCAGGACTTCCAGTAGGTCATTTGTCTCTGGCCCACCCAAATTCTTTGCTTTCTCCTCCAAGGGGGTCTGGAGGAGAAATCCCAAACCTGAGCTCCTTTCCACTGCCATAAAGGGGCGGAGCCCTAGCCCCGGGGTCCTCATCCCCTCCAAACAGCCAGTAAGCCCTGCCCTTGCCCTCCTTGGGCTTGACCCCAGGGCTCCAGAGTCTCAAGGTCGAGGTCTCTCAGAAACTGAGGGAGCAGGCACCTGGAAGTAGGGCCTGACCCCCAGAGGCCGTTTCTGTTCGAGGTCTCACACCTGCTTGGTTTAGGGAAGAGAGGAGGGGTGATCTAAGGGACAGGGACGGGGAGCTTGGATTTGGGTGGGGTGGGACTGGTGGACGACGCCGGTCGGACACAGCAGTGAGTCTTCCTCTCACCCCGGGCCCCTTAGGAATGTAATCGAGGATGCTGGCCCTGAGGCTGCTCAACGTGGTGGCCCCCGCCTACTTCCTGTGCATCTCCCTGGTGACCTTCGCGCTGCAGCTCTTCCTTTTCCTGCCCAGCATGCGCCAGGACCCCGCCACCGCCCGGCTCTTCCCTCCCGAGCTGCTCCACGGGGCTCTCTTCCTGTTCCTCTCCACCAATGCCCTGGGCAATTACGTCCTGGTCATCCAGAACTCCCCCGACGACCTGGACGCCTGCCAGGGGCCCTCGGCCAGGAGGGCCCTGTGCCCCCCGCCCAGCACCCACTTCTGCCGAGTGTGCGCCAGAGTCACCCTGAGGCACGACCATCACTGTTTCTTCACGGGCAACTGCATCGGCGGCAGGAACATGCGCAACTTCGTCCTGTTCTGCCTCTACACCTCCCTTGCCTGCCTCTACTCCATGGTGGCTGGCGTGGCCTACATCTCCGCGGCCCTTTCCACCTCCTTCGCCCACCCCCTGGCCTTCCTCACTCTCCTTCCCACCTCCATCAGCCAGTTCTTCTCTGGTGAGTGGCCTTGGCCGGCAGGTTGGGCCCTACAATGAGGACCTTCCACCCCATCCCAAGTTTGCCAGATTTAGCAAATAAAAATATAGAATGCCCAGTTAAATTGTAAGGCCAGATAAACAATGCATACCTTTTTAGTATGTCCTAAATATTGCACGGGGCATACTTAAATTTTAAAAATTCTGTTATCGAGGCACCTGGGTGGCTCCACAGGTTAAGCCGCAGGCTCTTGGTTTGGCTCAGGTCATGATCTCAGGGTGGTGAGATCGAGCCCCGCTTCCTGCTCCGCGCACAGCCTCGATGATCCTCTCCCTCTGCCACCGGCCCCCATCCAGAGTGCTCTCTCTAAAATAAATAATCTTTTTAAAAAATAAAAAAAATAGGTAAAAATTCTGCTATCTCTCTGAAATTCAAGTTAACTGGGCATGCTGTATTTTTCCTGGCCATCTCCCTCTCCACTCCCCATCCTCATTCATCATCTCCTCCTTGCTTGCCGGGAACCATCTGCGCATAGAATTTCCTGAGGCTCTAGACGATACCCCTGCTCTGTGCCAGGCGGGACTGGGTGCTGACCACCCCTCCATGCAGCTTCTGAGGTACACCCGCGCTATGATCTCCCTCCGCTTGGACTCCAGTCCTGCCCACACATTCCCCCAAGGATTTTTGTCCTCCAAAGTTCTTGCCAACCAACCACAGTAAGACTGACCAGGGTGCCAGGCCAGCCCCAGCAGGAAGCTAAGCCCTTCTGTCCTGCCCACTGTGTTTGTCCCCACCAGGCTGCTCTCTAGCCTGCAGACAGAGCAGAGAGCACCCTGGTTGAAGATGCAGCCCTGTTTAACGGATCCATTTTCACATCACAGAGCTGTGGGACTGGTGTTGGATTTGACCCTCCAGGGAGGCTCTCACACTTGCAGGAGCCAGGCATGTGGCCCTTCCCACTGGCACTCAGCTGTGCACGCAGTGGGGACAGGGAGAGCTCCTTGGTTCCTGGCCTAGAGGGATCTGGCTCCTGGTGGCAGTTCTTACCACTTTACCTGGCCTTGAAATTTATCCCTACCTCACTTCCTTCCATTTCATCCCTACCCTGGCCTTTGACGTCACCTCACTTGGTTCTTAAAGTTGGTAGTGTGCATGCCTGTGTGCGTGTGCACGAGTGGGATTGTTATTTCCATCTCTCAGATGAAGACACTGAGGCTCAGATGGGATTAAATGGATTGTCCAGGATCTTACCACTCCTGACCACCAGCCTCTGCCCCACCCCCCCAAGTCTTGAAACAGCCCCCAGCAGCACAAGGAATGCAGCATGTTTTTTCATCGAGTGACCTTTTAGGGACAAAGAAAGACCTTGCAGGTACTTCCACTGAGAGCCTAAGATTGTCTTGATGTGCATGGGCTGGCCATTCACAAAAGTTGTGCACCACTCTGGGGGAAGCCATCATTTTGGTCTTTGTTGGGGCTGCAGCCCAGTCCTTCACAGGAATAGAGCTGTTGCTCCATCAGACAGCGGAACTCAGAGGTCCACGAAGGCCCCAGCTGTAGGGGCGCCTTAAGGTCTGAGGACTGAGTTCGGCCCAAAATTCAGAGCTCTGGGCCTTCTGGATCCTGGCATGGGCACAGGAGTCTGCTGGGCCCAAAATAACCAGGCCGGGGGAGGGTGGGTGGGCGGGCTAGAGGGTGGAGTGTGAGCACAGGCAGGTGGAGGGATAAGGAGAGCCAGAGAGCCTGATTACACTTCTTTTCCAAGTAGCTTCATCACATCAAAATGAATGGTTCCAAAGGGGGGATCTTGAAATGGCTTGATTTGAGATAAGCCTGGGCTTGAGGCCTGTCCATATGTGCTAGGTTTGGGAGACAGGATAGAAAGGAAGAGGGGCTCTTGCTTTGATCTGGGGGGAGAAGAGAGCCAGTCAGCGCCTACCTTGGGGCTCAGATCTCTGTTGCAGCAGAAGCATGAGTCCCACCCCCTTTTGCCTTCTCCCCATCCCCACGGAGAAAAGGAGGCCAAGATTTCTAATCACCAACTCTCCCACCCCATCCATCTTCCTCCTCTGCTGACCTGACTCCTCACTCCCTGCCCACATTCACACCTCACTCCTTCAGCTTCTCCTTTCCTATCTCCTCTCCCCCTATTCTCAATCCAAACACTCGCAGACACACTCTCTCTTTTCTGCTGGGTGGAGGAGGTGGAGCTGGTGGACAGGAGGGAGCAGGAAGGCGAAAGTGCGTTCATAGATGGAGCTGTCCTCGGCTGTGGTGCTGCCCCGAGTCAGGCCTGCCCCCAGAGCACAGCAAGGCTGTGAGTGCACGCCCACAGCTCAGGCTGAGGTGGGAGACTGGCCAGTCTGATTTTGGAAATAGTACTTTCTTTGGGCTTCAGGGGATTGGTATAAGTTGTGTCACCTCTCTGAGTCTCATTCATCTCATCTGGGAAATGGAGACGTCACTGTCTGACCTGTGTCATGGCATTTGGCTAAGTGTGCCAGTATGGCGGGTGCCACCAGAAAGCCCAGGAGAAAAGGAACTAACATTTGCTGAGCGCCTATTATGTGCTACCCACCATGCAGGTTTCACTTCATTCAATCCCCATAAGTCCAAGAGGTAAGTAGTCTCATATTCATTTTAAAGGCCCGGGAACCCAAGGCTCAGCAAGGTTAAACCACTTCTAAACTATAAAACTGGTGTGACTCCAACCCAAGACTTAATCTCAGGGCTGCCAGCCCCTGGAGCTGACCAGGGCACCGCGCGGCCTATCTGGAGCTGCCTCTGCAGCTGCTGCTTGATGAATGAGCCACTTTGGGAGGGAGAGAGCTTCTTGTCCCTCAACGTCTATTAAATATGCTAGGTGACAATCTGTCAAAGGTGTCATAGATGCTTGGTAGGAAGGAGGGGTGGAAAGATTGGACCGTTTGACCGTTCAGGCCCTTGAGGAAAATTCTGTGATTTTCTAAAAGAAGCAGAACTATTATTAAATAATTCAGAGGAGCTGAGGCAGCCAGGCTGAGCAACTTCAAACACTTCAAGAGAAAGCAAGTCCCCAGAATAGCCTTTTGTAGCTGGTGCAAGGGGCCAGGAAAAGGCCATGAGGTCTTTTCCACATGTCTTGATTTAGTGCCAGAAAAAAGCCTATGGAGAACAGCTTCCGTCAGCCCAGGCTTATCCCTGCGGCTGAGTTGCAAGGCAGGCCAGGCATTTGACAGCTCTGATGTTCTCACATCCCAGCTCGAGGGCCATCTGTGCCCGTCAGCATTCCTGGAGCCCAAAGGGCACCATGGGCCCAGGATCCTTCATCCTACACGTGGCTGCCTGAGCTAACCTGTGCTGACAAGGAAGAAGTGGGTCAGAGGGATGGAACAGCCTGTCTAAGTCCTGTCCCTCTGCTGCCTCCACGCCAGCTGAGGGGCTGCTTCACATGTTGGCTGGAGTAAGCTTTCTATCCCCTGGGTAGCTGGGATTATTTGTCTCCAACTTCGAGAGGAGCTACTGCTATCAAAGCTCCCAGAACGGATGGCGAGAGGAGGCTGCTAATGAGCAAATCTGAATCCGGCCCATGGCCTCCTGGCTGCTGAGTCCACTGGGGCTCAGACTGGACAAGTTTTAAAAGCCCAGCCCTTAGGGGTCTGGAATCTGTGGACTGAGGAGACCAGGGAAGACGTGGGCCAGAGACAGGGGATGCTGGAGAAGGATATGGTTGACATTGCAGAGGCTGAGGAGGCTGTAAGGTGGGGTCCCTGGAGTGGGTACATTCATCTCATTGGAAGTGGGTGGGGGGGGCACCTGGGTGGCTCAGTCATCAGGTGTCTGCCTTTGGCTCAGGTCATGATCCCAGCATCCTGGGATTGAGCCCCATATTGGGCTCCCTGCTAAGTGGGGGACCTGCTTCTCCCTCTCCTGCTCCCCCGTGCTTATGTTCCCTCTCTCGCTATCTCTCTCTGTCATAAATAAAATCTTGAAAGAAAGAAAAAAAAGGAAAGGGTGGTGGTGGGCTTGCCCTGCCGGGAGTGAGGGGCTGAGGAGGGTTTTTGAGTTCTCTCCTGGACCCACTGTCTTAGCTGCTGGACAAGTCAAGCTAGGTGTCTCCACCATGGCTTTCAAGCCTGCAGCCCATCCGGGACTCCAAGCCCTGGAAAGAAGGAGGAAACTTGATGGTCTTAAGAGTTAAATGTGAGCCCTTCTTGGATCTAGTCTCCTCATCTGTGAATGGCCCTCAGCAGGGAGCACTGCACTGAGTGTGAACCACAATGCTAGTCACTTTGTACACCATTTCCCTGAATCGTGCGAGGTTACTGAGATCTTATGGGATCATTATTATTATACCCATTTTACAGATGAGCAAACCACAACTCAGAGAGATTAAGAAACTTGTACAAGACCACAGAGCTGGGAGATTCAAGCTAGCATGGACTGACCATCCCAGATCTGAACAAGAATGTGAGATCTCTTACTCAGTGGGTGTTTAAGACCTATAATAGAGAGTGCTAGTTTGGAGCGGTTTGAGAGTTCCTGTCCAAGGCAGGAAGCTTGACTGATGACCTTGGGGGCCTCTTCCAGCCTTAGCAAGGCTAAGGCTGACAGGACAGCTCTAGCCAACTGCTCTAGTGGCTATGCTGTCCTCTTGTTAACACTAATGACTGAATTATTCTCTAAGTCAGTGCTTTGCACTGCCCTTGGTGCTTGTGATTTATTCTTCTTGATGACTAGACCCTGTTCTCCATCATGCTGTCACTTTCGGGAGTCCTCCCAGCCAGTGCTCCCAGCTCCATAGGAAGGTGGCATTGCGGTCAAGGCAACTGCCCAGGAGCCAGCTCCCTCTCTAGCATCCCCAGCTCACCCCCCTCACCCCCTGTGAAACATCTTCTCCCTGATCCCAGATGCAAAGAGAAGGCAGAGAGAGACGGGGTCTTTGACTCCAAGGAAATGTTAGCATCCAGGCACTGCCCAGGAAGCTTCCTTTTCTTCTGCCCCACATCCCCAGGTCTCCCCTCTACCCTCAGGAGCCATTGTCACTAAGAAAAAGTTAGGTCAACTAGTTCATCCTTGCTCTCCCTCGATGCAGCAGCCCTGAGATTGCTACAAAATATAGCTTCAGTCTCATTACTCTCCCTCTCTCCCTAGCGGAAAGCGCCTGCATGGATTGCTTTTCAGTACGTGGCCTGGGTGTAAATCGAGTTTGGTGTTTCCCCGCCCCCCCTGCAGGAGCTGTCCTCGGTTCTGAAATGTTCGTCATCCTCATGCTCTACCTCTGGTTTGCCATCGGCCTGGCCTGCGCAGGCTTCTGCTGCCATCAGCTGCTGTTGATCCTCCGGGGGCAGACCCGTCACCAGGTGCGGAAGGGGGTGGCGGTGAGGGCCCGGCCCTGGCGCAAGAACTTACAGGAGGTCTTCGGGAAGAGGTGGCTGCTGGGCCTGCTGGTCCCCATGTTCAATGTCGGAGGTGAGAGCTCCAAGCAGCGTGACAAGTAGCAGGCATTCCCATCATTTCTCTGTGTGTGTCTTGACTCTCCCTGAACGTAAGACCATGACACTCTTGTCTCCACCCTTGACGCAATACAACCTTGAGCTGGCAAGATCCTAGCATCCACCCCTGGTCTGTGACCTACAGAGAACTGTGTTGCCCAACGGATCGTGGCAAGAAGGAAAAATGGTCACTCCTAGGAGCCAGCCAACTGTTAGGAGGCCTCTGCTTTTGCTTCTTCCCCTTGGAGCCCCTGCCCTCCCGCTCTGCCTTGTTCATCCACTCTCTCATGTCTCATGTCATCACTGCTATCAGCTAGAACTTTCCTTCTCAGATCCACGTTGGGGGTGGAGAATGGATTCTTGCTCATGGTATGATTCTCCCCAGGACCCAGAGGCTGGCAAAAATGTTTAAAATTACCATGTGTAAGAGGTAGCCAAGTTGGCTCTGCCAATTGCTTGTGAGGTTGGGAAAGGAGGGGCGTGTTATCCTCTCTGTGGAATTGTAAGCAGTGGAAGGGAAACTCAGTAGCTTACTGTCCTATCCCCAAGCTGCACGGCCCTTTCTCTGGGAGGCAGCAGCTAATGACCAGGGATTTCCAGGTGCTGTCCCCTGTCCAGCCTGCCCCAGCTGGCCACCCCAATCCAGTCTGGGACCTGCCTGGATGCTTCCTTTCCCTGGCACTCTTCCAGGTTTTCCCACCTTGATCTCCAGCCTCTGGGTCTTTGCTAGGTGCTGGGGAGGCAAGGAAGAAGGAAGAAGGAAAGGAGAAATACTGACAAATGAGAGAAGCATGTGACTGCATAACCATACAGAAGGGGGCGTGTATGTGTGTGCATGTGGTGGGGGAGAGATGGTGAGGAGGTTTGTTGTGAAATAGAGAATGCTTAGGGGAGTGGAGGAGAGAGGTCACACACAGGTTGGGCACTGGGATATTTGGGGAATGAGAATGAGGGGACCAATGGGTTCATTTCTGAAGGATGTTCTAGCAGCTAAAGCTGTTCAGTGTTTGAACAGCTTCCTGGGGAAGTAGAGTGCCCCATGGAGGTGTTCCAGCAGGGACTGGTCAGTCATCTGGCAGGCATGCCATGGAAAAAATTTCTGCACAGGTCAGGAGAGGGAAGATCCTTTCCCACCCCCAAGATTCTAGCATCCTCTTTGTGATTGCTGGTCCAGAGGCAAGAACTATAGAGATGCCTGTGAATTATTTGCTTTCATGAAGCGGGGAGCTGGCATGGAGGGGTCTGAAAATCATAATGCAAACTTCCAGGACCCTACCCAGCTACCAAGGAGGGAGTCTCTGGAGAGACAGGATGACCTGGGTACTGATGCTAGTTGAGGGAGGTTGGCATTGAGGAAAGGGAGATGGAGCAGTGTCAGGGGCAGGTGGGGGCAGTGGTGAGGGAGCTGGAAGGTCATGCTGTGCTCTGAGAGGTGAGATAGGGAGAGTTGAAACTCAGGAATGGGGGAGACCAGAATATAGGGGTGTAGTTGTGAAACCAGTCCTGCTTATCTAATTGGCTCTGCATGGGGGCACAGCTGTGTGTTCTGGGACCCAGAGGGTCAAATCTCTGGGACATATTTGGAAGTTTGGACGGCACAAGTGCCCCTTCTGACTGAATCCCAAGGCCAGTCTGCCATTCATGCAGACTGCAGGGCTGAAGCCCACACCCTACAGTGTCCACAGCGACCTCAAGCGTTGCCACACAACACCCTGAGTTCTTGAGCAGAGTTCAGGAGGACTTTACCTTGGTCCTGCCTTCACGCCCTCTATAGGGCTAATGTAGAAATGGCACCCCTGGCTGACACTCCCTTCTGTATTCATTCATTCATTCATTCATTCATTCATTCGTACATATATTTACTGAGTGCCAACGATGTGCCAAGTCTCTTCCGGGCACTGGCATACGATGATGAACAAGACACACTTGTTGTGATGAGCACTGGGTGTTACATGTAAGTGATGAATCACTAAATTCTACTCCTGAAACTAATATTACATTGTATGTTAACTAACTGCAATTCAAATAAAAACTTGAAACAAACAAACAATGATGAACAAGAAAACAAGATCTCTGCCATCAGGGGCATCTTGTCACTGGCCCCTTGCACTGACTCCCACCCCTTGAAAAATGGTTTTTCTGCCATTTTGTTGTCAGCCGGGCAGATCCCTTGGAAGGGAAGGATATTTGCAGAGAAGGCTGAAGAGGAGCCCAGGTTGGCGGGCTGGAAGTCACTGGGGATCATCTTCACCCTCAATTTTGTTCATACCTCAGCAGTGGGAGTGGAAGGGGCAGAAAGAGAGGCCCTGGGCAATCCAGGCCTTGGCTCTCTCCCAACCCCAGAGCTCAAGCTCGGAAGCTAGCCATGCCATTCCCAGCCTCCTGGAGGCTCAGCACTGTGAGGCTTGATGTGGGGAGAGGAAATAAAAGGGAGACCTGCAGGGTTTGACTCCTGGCAGACTGGTCAGTGGGTGGTGATGTGGGGAGGTTGCCAGGAGTGGGACTGGAGTAGCATTTGTACACATGGCCCTGTATTGTTGATGAAGAACATCAATAAAATATGTGGTGTTAACTTGGATTTGATGTGATCGCACGGGCGCTGTGGTTGGTAGCAGGGCTGGCAAGGCTAGAATGCACCTACGCAGTCATAATAGCTGTTGAAATACTTAAGCTAAGTATTACAAATACTTCTGTTCTAGTAGGTAAATAGCCATTGTCCAGACTCCCCCAGTAAACCCCATCCCCCTGCCCCAGCTGCTCCCATGCCTCCCCTCGAGCCCCTGGCTCACCTCAGAATCCAGTGATGAAAAGGGCCATGCCTGTTATTTGCATGGAACCCCGGGATCCTACTCCAGCCCATCAGCCAGTGTCCTTTGTGAATGAGCAGGGTTGTGTTGTGTGGTCGGTAAATGTGTACTACCCCGGGACTGGTAGCAGGTCTACATGCTGGGATCTGTGGAGCCATGGGGACCAGGGGTAGCATGTCTAACTTGAGAACCTTCCTCCACTTCCTTCCACTTTTCTTCCTCTCCCACCCCTTCCCATGTCAGAGAACAGGTGGGGAGAGAATGAAGCGGAGAAGCCACCTGGTTCTCCATCACAGCCAGAGCTGACCATCCTTGAGGATCAGCCAGGCTCCCTGACCTCTCTGAGACTTCAGGCTACCCAGTCCTCAGGGCAGCTGCGAGGGGGTTGGGCCCTGCAGGGAGAGAGTGGTCCTTGAGCAGGTGCATGAGCATGACATCTGACACATCCTAAAGATAAGCATGACATAACTACAAAGTGCTAGTTCCACTTGGGCTGGTGAAGAACCTTCAGCCAAGGCCAGTATCGTATATGGGTCTGCATTCCCTGTACACATGCCAATGAGCAACGAAGAAGGCAGACCCCAGGTATACTGGGCGAGGGCGTGGGGGATGAATGGAGGTGTGGCTAATCTTCAGCACATTCTAGAGCATGGGCTGTCTACACTCCACAGGGCAGACACTCTTGCCTTTTCACCATTGTATCCTGAATGCCAAGCAGGGGCGAGGCACATAGTAGGTGCTCAGTAAATATTGAGCAAATGAATGCTTAGATTTTGTGCTCATTTGCTCACTCCACATCTCTTCTGTTCTGTGCACATTGTGGGGCTAGAAGACAGATGAGACATGAGATGAGACAATGCTGTCCACCAGGGGTTCACATCCTGGAGAGATTCCTGGGAGAGCCCAGAGGAGGAAGAGAGCCCGTCCTAGCTGTAGGGTCCAGGGAGTTTCCATGTGAACTGCAGAGCCTGGAGAGGTGGATGAGACTTAAGCAGGTGGAGATGGACAATGGGGGCTTTCCAGGAAAAGGGAACAGGCCTGGAACCTTGGAGTGATCACGGGATGGTGAGCATAGGGGACAGCACAGAGAGGCAGAGGGAGTTAAATCTAGGAGCTGGCACCTGAGCAGAATGGGGCCTTGAATGCCAAATTAAGAGATCTGGAGTGAAGTCGATAGGGTAACCATTGAAGTTTGTGAACAAGGAAGCTACATGATTAGAGCCGGATTTCAGAAAGTGGGGCTTTGGTGGGTAGGCTGGAAGGGGGGAGCACCCGAGAGGAGGTATTGTCATGAGCTGAGGGTGACATAACCAGGGTTTGGGTGCGAATACTGGCTGTGGGCTGGTGACAAAAGGAAGTGTCAGAGCCATTGCACAGACATGGAGCTTGACTTGGAGGGGTCCAGGGGGAGAAGACCCGAGAGGATCCTGAAGGTTGAGATAGGATGGTCAAGGTGACCTCAAAGGAAAGGCCACCAGGAGCACTGGAGTGGGGAGAAGATCATGACCCTGGGGTTCAGGGTAACCAGGATCACTCTCCTCTGTCCATGGCCCATTGGTTGGTGATGTTATCCCTCTTAACTAACCACTCTGTAACCTCGTGTTGGAAGAAGAGATTCGGGGCAATCTGTACATTGTGCCATGCAGCATGGCCTCCTGGCTGCCAAAGCTGGGAGAAACCATCAGCCTGTGGCAATAGAGGTCACAAGTCCTTGAGGAGACCTGAGTCTCCACCTGCTCTAATGAAGAAGCCAGTCTGTAGGTCTCAGCAGACATCTTTTAGCTAGTCTCCTTTCCCAGGAACATGGCTGTCCTTGTCACTCCATGTCCTTGTCACTCCATGCACGCAAACCACAGTACAGTATCCTGCAACTGACCTCATTACTCCCCTCATCCTCTGGTATGCTCTCCAGGATGCTGGGGAGGCAACTCCTCCTGCTGGGGAGAAAAGGAGGGGCTGGGCAGGGAGCTGGGATACATGGCTCCTGCCTTATCCGAGATGGTTTAGAAATGAGGCCGAACCTTGGACCTGGTCGCCAACCAGAGTGAGTCTGTTAATGGGGTGGGGGGGTCTGGGGTAGCTCCATTGCTCCTGATGTTGATTTCTGTTTCTGTCTTCATTCTTCTCTCTGTGGGTGGTGCTGGCCCAGCACCTCCATCAGACATTCATTGATGCCCACTCTATGCCAGGCATGATGCC